TAGCATGGCTTTTTGAAGGTGGTGAAGATGCAGATAAGCCAAGGGATCAAAACTTTGGTGGGGGTAATTTGAAAATTGACATATCAGAAGAACTTGCTCGGATTGCTGATATGGAAGCAAGGTTCAAGTGCTCAAAACAGGAGGTTGAAAGAGCTATTGTAGCCTGTGAGGGTGATCTTCAGAAGGCTGCTGAAAGCTTAAGAGCATCAAAGCAAGATCCACCTTCTGTATCACTTAAGCCAGAAGAAACTGGCGATCCTCCAACTGGTACTAATGGCAAGCTTCCAGTTTCTGTTAGTCAGAACTTGAGGCCACAAATAAAACCAAATCCTCTTCCTACTATACAACAAAGAAGGGATGATAAGGAATTTAACTATACAAAACAAGCAGCTGCAGTTGGAGGGTCTATAGAAACTACAAGTAAAACTCTGCAGCCTCTGAAGAGAGGACAGCCAAAGATGGAGTGGGCAAAACCCCAACAGACACCAGTTCCTGCTGAAAGAAGGTGGTCAAATTCTGCATCGAATCCTTCAGTTTCATATTCATTGGCATCACCTTTACAGGTCTCATCTCCACCAGTCAAGACGGAAACTCGTTATGTAGCTGTTGGGGGCGACTTAAAGAACCTTCAGCCTGGAACTGTGAGGGAACCCATTATTATGATGCAGCGTCCTCAATCTGTCAATACAAAGCAATTGGTATCCGCTACCACTAGTATGAGTTCATCACCTCCTGGATCCGCTACCAATTGGTATCCTTCTACTAGTGTTGAAATGATGAGGTCCAGTGGCTTTTTGCCCCACATTCCTAGCAATTTGAGTTCAAATCAGATGTACCATCAGTTTCAGTATCAACAACAGCAGCAGCTTGTTCCTGGAAGCAGCCCAGCTGATCCCACTGGAACAAGCCGAGGGAATAACATATGGAGTAGAGCAGGTGCTTCTCCAACACTTGCTGCTGCTTCCTCCCTTGGACTCTTCTCAGGGTTGGGCTCAGCTGGCTCATCAGGGGCATCTGCTCCGGCAGACTGGAATGCTGGTGGCGGCTCATGTGGACATATAGATTACACAAACATTGACTGGAGTTTGGATAGAGGTCTGTCTTCGCCAAGGCCCAACGGGTTGTGGACAGGACTGCCTTCTATCATGAAGAGCAATATCAACTTCTATGATCCAAAACCTGCTGGGTTGGGTGGTCAGCCTGGAATCAGAACGGCATCCTCAAACATGAATGTTGTTTCCTTTGTGGGACTGCAGGATGGAGCTGCTAATGGTGAAGCATCAGCTGCG